AAAAAAAAACAAAACAAATAGTTTTTGGTTTTTAGGAAGGTTTATGCTTTAAGTTGTGTCTTTGAACATCTAATGATGCATGAAATAGTAACTTGACTTTGTTATTGAGCATATTCCTTGACTTAGGATGTTAGGAATGTTTCATAAAATAGAGTTAATCAGATTTGAATCTTTGTAGTTTGAAACAATATGTCTTGATAAGTTGTGTGAACTTGGTGACGAAGCATGATTGAGGAGTGTATAACAACCCTTAAAAGAAAAAGAAAAATTGTTTCTCTTAAGCTAGTCCTAAATTTGGGTTTAAGTAAATAGGAAAAAATAAAAAAAAAAAAGGTATGTGATGGGTCGAGATGGAGCGTAAAACGCACTCACTCATAAATACAACCATGAAATGAGATGGAGCATAAAATGCACTCATTCTTTTTCAAAACAGAAAAAAAAATATCCCTAGTTTGCTACCCGGTTTGTAGTAGTAAAGAGAAACAATTGAGGAAAAAGTTGAGAGGTGAGTTGTACATGAATTGGTTGTGATTAGTTTCCCTATTTGCATTGACTGATTGAGAGTAATTGTGGAAAATGATGAAGAGAGATGAATGTCATTAACTCTACTTTATTTTATTTTGTTGCTTCCTAAGTTAGGTATTTATATTCATGGATTAAATATTGTTGCTTATGCATCATGATCGTGTTCTTGATATGACTTGAGTGTAGTGTTTGTTTGAATTAGTTTGCCCGAGGATGTGCAAAAGCTAAGTGTAGGGGAATTTGATGAGAATACAAAATGTCATATTTACCCCCCTTAATGTCTAGTGTTTTATACTTCTTTGTTGCCTAAATGTACTCATTATTATTCTATTTTGCTTTAGGATGCAAATGGAGGCATTAAATGCAAAACGGAACTAATTAGGTGAATTCGGACAGTTTCAACATCGCCTCGTAATCTGGGAATAACTCTCTCATCCGATCTCCGATTGAGATGATTCAAAATGATGTGGAACCCTAAGAAATATATCTACAACTTTTATTTTTGAGTTTGGAGAGATACTCGCTGAATCAAGGTTGTAATCGGGCTTGAAGTTGACGTACCTACACTGCTGACGTTCTGGAACATTCTGCCCTATCATGCAAGTCAATTAGGCAAGTTACTATTGGAAGATTTGAAGACCTATTGCACGCAAGTTATAGCTGGACACACCACTTTCCTATTTTATTTTAGGACTTTATTTTATTTTCAATTAATCAGAATCAGATTAGGATAAATCCAATGTTGATCTAGCCAAAAAAAGGCCATATCTATGGCCAAAGATCTACCCTGATCGTCAACGTGGCCATCGTTGACGACCAAACATGGCCAGATCTGGCCGTCAACAGCTAGATCTGGCCGAAAAATGCCATATCGACGTATGATCAGCCAGATCCAACTGGGCGTATGCCATTATGGCGATTGTCAGCCACCCTCCGGCAATGTTGGTGGCTGACAGCATTTAATGGGTCGGTGGGGGTGTTTTTGTTCATTTTCAATGTTTAATTGAAGGGTGTTTAGCTAAATTAACAAACCTAGGGAGTGTTTTGGTTCATTTCCAAATCCTTCCTCATAATAACCACCGAACTCAACTTTTTCAAAAATCCTACCCAAAATAATAAAACAAACACTCCCTTAACATTTTACTAGTCAAAAGCAGTCAAACTCGAAATTTGGTTGACAGACATAAATGGAGGATGAAACATTATAGTTTTTCAAAGCAAGGGTATGAGCATCGATAGGCTAAACCTAAGGTGGATACATGTATTTCAACCATGAAAAAAAAAAAATTAATTTAATTTAATTGAGTTACTTCTATTAATTTTTTATTGTGATATTTGGTTTTATTATTGAAAAGGCATATATGTTCTCCACTTGTTAATTTTGCACTAGTGCGTTTGGATCGAGGGTATATAAGATAACAGGGGTAATCTTCATTTATTTTGCAAGATTCCAGTTTTTTATTTGCAAGTGATAAAATATTACGAGTATCTTTTATTGCAAATAGTGTTTACAGTTAGTAATGTAGAGGGTAATCTAATACCCTCCCCCAATGCTGTTATTAAAAAATTACCAGGTAATCTGATTTTTATACCTATTTTACCCTTAATTGAATACCATTTCGGACACAATTGCCCTCAAATGTCTACCAAATAACAATTATCTAACCCTCTTACATTTGAGAATTTAGGTAAAACACCCTAGCCACAAAAAAGTTTAAAAGTTAACGAAATACCTCTAGCCACCAAAGACCACTGCTAGCCATTACTCACCACTGCCGGCTACTGGCGTCAATCGTCAAATGGTGCATGACCGATGAGATCTAGCCGGTCATGCGTTGGTAAGGCCTTTTTTGGTGCCGGAAACAGCTAAAGCTGGTCGTTTCACTGCCACATCCGATCTGGCCATTTCACTGACACCATTTCATAGCCACATTTGATCTGGCCATTTCACAGCCATACTTGTGGCCATTTCACGGCCATATCTTTGGCCATGAAATGGCCATGGATTTGTGATCCATGGTCGGAAAATGGCTTTGCTAACACATGGTCGGCCATATACGGCTAGTCATGCTCCATTTAGTCGACTGTCGACGATGGTGGCTAATTGCCGATAGTGGCTTGGGGTGGATGGTGATGATTTTGCTACAAATTACAGTTTTATATAGCTGGGGTGTTTTGGCAAAATTTCAAATGTAGGGGGTTAAAAAATTATTCAAAAAATAATAATAAAAGTAATATTTAAAAACGAGGGCAATTTAGTAATCTATATGATATACCCACTCATTTATCCTCCCAATCAAACATATTATTTACCAATTTATTCGAACCAATCAAACACATTTCTTAAACATTCTCAATAATCTACAAGGTGATCAATCTTTCTGTTGATACCACCCCCCTCCAAACAATAAAACATTATATGAGCCCCCTAACACATATCAAGTTTGAGTATATTCTTACTAATAAAAATAAATATGTTCTTGAAAGACCAAAATTAGAGGGACTAACTTGTACTTAACCATATTAAATTTTGCCTTTGTTGCTATTCAAATGTTCTCCTGCTTTGCTATTCTTCACTTTGTTTTGAGCTTGGTCTATTTCTTCCCTTCTGTAATTCAAGTGATTGAGATGAATAAAAAAAAGAGTAATGCTACAGTCACCGAAGTAGTGCACCGAATTCATGCACCGAATGACGTGGTAAAATCCTGACTATTGATTAATTTTAACTAAATATTAATAGATGGTCAGGATTTTGTTACGTTATTCGGTGTATAAAATCGGTGCACTACCTTCGATGGCTTTATCATTTCTGTAAAAAAAAAAGGGTTTGAAGCAGTAAGGTTATGGAATGGTGATATTTTATATAAAATAAAATTACGGAAGTGATTTTAGACCCCTACGTATTTTTCAATAGCCCCCATTTATTTTTATTTGTTTCAATTTTGATAAGTTTTAGCTGTAATCAACTAGTATAAAGGATACTACATATTTTGATATGTTTTAATTACTATCCTTATAATTAATACACCCATTTTCATTTTAACTTATACAATTATACTCCCCTTTTTAAAATTATTAGAAGGATGTTCATGTTAAATTTCAAATTTGTAATTAATGAGTTTTACAATTTTACATTTTTACACTATCTTTATATTTTCTATGTTTTATAAGATCTAAAAATACTTTTTATATTTACTAAGAATCTACTTTAAAATCTTAATATATGTAGGATTAAAAATTGAAATAATAATATTGGATTTGATACTTTCGTACTTTAGAATAATAAATGTATATTTTCTATTTATTAATTTGCTAGAGATTTAAATTATAGTTCAATTAAATTTTATTCTCATCTTATTTTAGGATAGAAAATATAATTATTGGATTAAATCATGAAAATGATTTTTTTTTTTTCTATCAAACGTAAAAATAAGATCAATTTTTCTAGTAATTTTATGAAAGCCTATACTATAATATGGAAATAAAGAAAAAATAATAACCTTTTAATTATAAAAGGGTTTTTTCGATATTAAGTGGGATTTTAAAAAGAAAATTTAAAATATGAATAAGGGGGATGCTAATAAATTGAATGGGGCCTCAAAACCGTTTCTCTAAAGTTAAATAGTAGTGTTATTAAGCCCCACCCAAAGTCTATCTAAGCCCCAAAATCAATTAGAAAAAAACAATTTTTATTTATTCCAAAAAACTACCTTTTTTTTTTTTTTTTTAATTTCTTTGATTTCCTAATCTTTTTTAACTTCTTTTCTTTCTTAAAAACTCATTATTTATAAATTTTTATGGAAAACCTATAAAAACAAATTAGAAAGAATATTTCTTATTATGATTTTGCATAAGAAATATTTTTTCCAACCTTTGTCTTGTTTGTTTTTATGGGATTTCATAACCTTTTATAAATCACAAGTATATTTGAGTAAAATTTCATTCATTTTTTAAATAAACAAATAAAAGAAAAGAAAAAAAATTCAAGAAGGATTTATTTTTGAAAATATGTTGTTTATTAATCATGATTAAGTAAATGAAAAGTTAAAAGGGTTAAGAAAGAAAAAATTAAAAATAATACCACTATACCGTTACCATTGCATTCAGGTGGGGGTTGGGCTTCTGACTAAATTTATGTTACCAGCCCACGCCACAAAGTCAGTTTGGGCTGATTCCACGTGGCCATTCAAAATTTTGTTTTTACAAGTTTTGCATATTTCCATCTTGGAGAAAAATCACTCGTCAACATAAGAAATGAACCTTTCTGGGATTACATCAAAGCTAAACTCCATTTGATGGAATTCCAGTTTTTCAGCGAAATACACACGATTATATCATTAAATATTTTTAGTTCGTCAGTCCATCCAACAATCATCTTAAGATCAATTTTTCTTTTTTTTTTCTTTTTTTTCTTTTTTTTTTTTTTTTCCTTTAAAGCAAAATTGATACTTTAATATGGCACGGAACCCTTCAAGTATTGCTCAATACTAGGTGCCCTGGGTTCTGTCATGATATTGATGTTTTATTCCGTTGTTGTAGTCAAATATGGCCCAGCTCTCTTTAATGGGATTCCTGATTCGATCACCGCTTTGTAGTTTTTTTGTTGTTTCATTCATTGGTAAGCCTTTTTCCTCTTATAGTTTTGTTCTTTGTATGAGAACATCAATTTGGTTATTAGGATAACTAGAGAATAGAGAGGCAATATTTTTATGATTTTTTTTTTTTGTCTTGTGAAATTTTTAGAAATTCAAGTTGAATCAAGGATTTCTTATTTAGCTGAGATTGTTTTTATATGCTCTTATTTCAATTTGCTGGCAACTCAAGATAATTGCTTATATATATATATATATATATAGTCCTTGAAATTTGTTGCATTTAGATTTTAAAAGTGGATGATTTGGAATCAAGATATGTATTGATTGAGAGGAGATGGTGATTATTTATCTTGGAAACGGAGGAAAATTATTTTTGATTTTGTTATTGCCTTTCATCACCCACATGGGGTTGAGTAATTTTTGTTATTTTCTTGATTTTAATGAGAATAGCTGTACAATGGAGTTGATGTGAAGTTTAATCACTCAGTTGAGGTAGAGTTCGGTTGACTTTCAATTTTAATCTAGATGGCAAAATGATATTTCCTCTTTTGGAAAAGTTTTAAATTGATTACTGTTTGTGGTTAATGGTTCTTTTTGTTTTCAATAATTATTTAAGTGTCAAATAATTGCAATGTAGGACTTTAGAGGATATCTCCACTTCAAGATAATGAGGGTGGTGATCATCAAAGATCTTTTCAAATAAATATTAAATTCTTATAAAACAACTTTAGGATTAAATATTAATGTTTTAAATTTGGTTGTTCAGTTGGCAATCCTGTTGTGGAGCTATTTTTCTGTTGTAATAACTGATCCAGGGGGTGTTCTGCCAAAATGGATACCCATGCTGGATGAGGAGAAAGGTGACATAAATCCACTACTGGGACCAGAAAATTTTTGTGTAGTGGTGTGCTGTCGTAGGCAACCAAGATTAAAAACCTTCCTAAACTAACTACTAAACTGTAAATAGGGTAAGCAAGGGTCGATCCCACGAAGAGTGTCTAGCCGAATTTTCGATGATGTGAACAAGGTTGGGGGGTTTTGAGTTAAACAGAAAACAGTCTTAGCAAAAATAAAAAACAATTCAAATCAAAATCAAAAATAACAAAACTTGGTCTCAGACAACATCCGTCATCGGAATCTTACAACTGATCATTGATGCAAAATTAAATCAATCTACGCCTGAATATTCACCATTGGAACTATTTTCCTATCTCTCATTAATTGTAATTAATCAAGAAACAAGCGATCTTAATTAATCTTACCACTAAACAACCCTAGACAAGCACTCAAGATTTAATCTAGTGGCAGTCTTATGAATTAGAGAAATCGATGAAGCTAAACAACACAAACATAAGCGGTTGTATTTAATTTAGTTGAATGTTCTTCTTAAGATTACTAATTCCTGACGCAGCGAATTATTAACCCTAATTGCTTCACAAGTTAGAGGGATCAAACAATTACGGATTTGATATCTAACTTAACTTAGCAGTAGATTGCAACAATTAACAAACTAGTAGGCCTCCCTAGTAATTAAACGAAACAATCATAAAATTAGGCGCAGAAAACCATCCAATACTCAAACACGAAAATTGAACACTAAGAAAAATATAGTAGATCTCACAGTTTATTGATTCCGAGGCCTCCGTTTCCTTCGACCAAGTTACAAAAGCTTTAGCCGCTCATAGCCATAATCAAAAACTCAAAAAGAAAGAAAAATTCCAGAGAAGAGAAGAGAGAGGCATGGTCCCCCTCAAAAACCCTAATCTGATCCCCTTAGCAAAAATCCAGATTCAAGTGTTTGAATCCCACTCAATCTCCTAAAAGAAATATTCTAATATCCTAAAATAACATTAATCCTAATTTGATTCTAATTAATTAAAAATAAGATAAAGTCCTAAAATAAAATAGGAAAGTGGTGATTCTGAGCTGTAACTTGCGTGCCACATGTCCTCAAATCTTCCAATAATAACCTGCCCAATTGATTTGCAGGACAAGGCAGAATGCTCCAGGACGTTTAGTGCAGATGCATCAAATTCAAGCTCGATTACAACCTTGATGCAATGAGTATCTCTCAAAACTCAAAACATAAAAGTTGTAGATATATTTCTTAGCGTTCAACAGCATTTTGAATCATCTCGATCAGAGCTCGGATGAGAGAGTTACGTCCAGATTACAAAACAACATCGAAACTGTCCGAATTCATTTAATTAGTTCCGTTTTGCAATTAACGCCTCCATTTGCATCCTAAATCAAAATAGAATAATAATGAGTACATTTAGGCAACAAATACCTATAAAAGACCAAACATTAAGGAGGGTAAATATGACATTTTGCATTCCCATCATGTAGATTTGCATAAAAACCCATCAGCTGCACCTAGTGAACCAAAAAATCGAGGAATTCGGTTCTGTCAAAAATGTAATCAATTTAAGCCTCCTCGTTGCCATCACTGTTCAGTTTGTGAGTTCTTGACTTAAGACCCTAATCTTATATCTTTGCTGTTTTCTTATTTTACTACAGGAAGTAAACTTAATTTGTTTTTGCTTCTAGGCGGTAGGTGTATATTGAAAATGGACCATCACTGTGTATGGGTTGTTAATTGTGTTGGGGCATTCAACTACAAGTATTTCCTTCTTTTCTTGGTACGTTAACTGTAAAACAAGTGGATTCATATCTTTTAGCTAATGGACTCATTTGATTGAAGCTTGACTAGTGTAGTATATATGCTACTATGTTATGGAAATTAATAATTTCAGTAGACACTGTCTCATTGTTGTCCTTTTGTCCTGTTTTCTTTTTTCCCATAGTTATTGCTTTTGTGATTTGATTGTTGTTGAAGGCTGATTCCTCGTTTTGTCAGCACAGCATATCAGTTGTAGATTACACACTCACACATGTGTATGTGCATGTATAATGCAAGGTAGGATTTGAACCTTATATCTACCTTCACCTCATTACACTCCTTTGTTGTGTGAGGTTGAAGTCCAGAGTCAAATATCGACCATATTTATTAGAATTGTTACAATCATAGATGTTGGAAATGTAAGGCTTGAATAATATGTTGAAATTTAGCTGCAATCTCTATTTAATTTGCTATATACCTCACAGATTATACTACTTTAACAGCCCAGATATGTTTGTTGCGTCTCACTGTATAGAATAGCGAAAGATGGAAAAGTTTATAAGAAAAGTTTGCTTGTCAATATAAAGCCTTTATTTTGACATCATTTTCTGATATGATGTCCACATGTAGAATAATATCTCTTTGTGAAAAACATCCATGAAGAAAAACTAGTGTACTACCTAATAGTATCATCTATGATATTCCCAATCTTTCCCTGGGATACTCCTTATTTATGTTGTCTAATGGGAAAAATTTGCCTGAAGAATGCTTGATAGCATTATAAACCATTAGTGGAGAGTTTCTTATTCTCAAGATGGAGCTTTTATGATTAAATTTTGAATCCTTATCAAACCTTCATTGTTTTTGCTGTGCATGAAAGTCATGATGAAGACGAAGATTTATTACTGCTCTCATATGTTCCAACCTTCAGGTGGTAGAACTTTGGAATTGAGTGACGAGATTTGTTTTTTGACTTGGATGTAGCTTCTTATGAGTCTGTTTACCACAGGAAGCTATGCCAATTTAAGATACTATGTAATCTCTTTCGCAATCTCTGAGTGCTTAGTCTGCTCTCAATATCTGTCAATCCTATCCGGCTGGTTGGTGTCTCAAGTTTTCGTTGTGTAGAACTTACAGTTCTAGGATTGGGGTGAAGAATACTATATGATATCAGATGTTTTAAAATCTCAAGGAATATGTCGTTGCAAGGTATTATGGTTAAACATGCATGTAATGAAGCTTATGTTGTTAAAAGGAAAAAACGAATTGGTGCTCGAACATAAGTTTATTAGATTCTCCCTATTTTTGCAACTGATTGTATAATTGATTGTTGTGCTTTGTCCAGGGTTTTTGTGGACATTAGAAGACAGTTATATTCTTTCCCAGTGTCTTCTAGTGGCAGTTTATCTTGTCTATTGAAAAGATTATTATGTTTGTTGATGGTGGTTCGTATGCTTGAACATACAATCTTTTTTTAAAAGAAACTAACCACCAATTGACTTTATGGATGACATGACTGAGTGCTAATGAAAATAGAATAAAATAAAATAAAAAAGGAAAAAGACTAGGGACATCTTTGGTGCTGAACTTTTATACAGTTTTACACATTTCTCGAGACAACTCTTGTCACTGTATCGTCATTGCCGATTTTTATTGCATTGTTTACTGATGATGAGATACCTGGAACACCAGGAACCATTGCAGCTGTTCTTATCACATTTGGTAAGTTTTACAAACATGATTATTTGTTCTTGCATCTGATATTTTGTTTTTATCCTTACCTTCATAATAAATTATTGTTGTTCATGCTTTGAAGTTTTGAACTTAGCATTTGCATTGAGTCTTCTGGGCTTTCTGATCATGCACATATCATTGGTGGCAGGCAATACCACTACTATCGAGGTAATGCTTTTTGTCATTTATTATTTATTTTGTTTATCAATTAATTAACGAAGACTTCAAACCAGTTTATGTCTCACAAAGCCTTCTTGATTGCTTAAAAGGCATTTGAAAAGAAAAGTACACCTAAATCGCCGTATGACCTTGGTTGGAAGATAAACTTTGAACAGGTTATTCTTTTCTTCTTTTTCAATTGTTTGCTTCTCTATCTCTTCTGTATTTGTATGTGGATCCATGTGGCTTTCAAGATACTATATCTGTTTTATGAGATAGCTTGCCTTAGAAAAGACCTGAAATTAAAAATTATAATTACCCTATTGCTGCTGCAGCAGAAAATTACATTATTTAGTCCCTTCCGGTCATCTTTGGTATGAATCAATTTCACTTCTTCAAAGAATATAAACTACCCCATGTCAGGATTGAATTTAGACATATTTCTACTTAATGTTTTTGTTAAAAAATTCCTAAACTTGCTTTCGTATCCATCATGATTAAGGTTATTTAATATAAAAGTCTAAGACCTCCAACCTTGTGTTCGGTTTTATGCTTCCTCAAAGTTTTGCTTGTTGATCCCCATGTCTTGCGCTTACTCTCTTTTTTCCACCCTATTAAGTATATGATTATTAGTAAATTTTGTGCTTCCTTTCATTAATTGAACGTCATCAAATCATTGCATTCCACTATTCCAGTATCTTGCTCATTGTCAAATTCTTCGCGCTAGTATTTTCCTTGCACTATCACATCACCTTTGAAGCCTCACTATGCCTCCAAGTAAGCATATGGATGTAGATCACCATATTGTCTACACTTGAGTGATCTAGTTATAGGTTGGCATGAACTAAATTCTGAAGGATATGTCTCAAAAGAGTAATGCTAGCCTTACTCCCCCTTCTTATTCATTTCTCTTATTCACTCATATGGTAGGTGGGTGTAAAAAGAGAGAGAAGGGAGTAAGAAGGGAGATTAACATGAGTGAGTAACAAAAAGGAGTAAGAAGGAGGAGTAAGACTAACATTATTCGTCTCAAAATAGTATTTTGATCAATAAGCATATGCATCAGGTTTTTGGGAAGAACAAGAAGTACTGGTTCATCCCTTTATATTCAGAAGATGATATAGAATGGATGCCACTGTTTCGGCATTTGGAATTTCCAGTAAGGCCAGAGTCGGATGATGTATAGCAGTTGCAGATACCAAAATTATTAATCTGGCAGCACGCAATGTATGAAGTACAAGGTGTTTCTTGTGTATATATTATTCTTAATCAACGCAACAACTTCTTGTTACCAGCAGTGAATTGTAGAGTAGTTGAACAAATTTTTTCACCCTGACTTTATCGAATTTCATTTGCCACTCCCTGTTTCGGAAACTAACAACTTAGCACCCAACATTAGTTTTGGTCCATTAAATTGTCCTTTGACCAGCTTTGACCTTGTAAATACCTTTTTACCCTCAGTATTCATTATTTTCTCAATTAATAAGAATTAAAACCCAAATTAATCAACAATAAAGTAAAAATCCCGAATGGAGAAATTAATAAAAATCAATCAAACTACATAAAATCACATACCATACCTAATTCAATTAAAATATATAAATCATTCCACATTCAGTGGACACCTATTTTCAACAATCTAAACTAATTAAAATAAGAAATATGTACACATATAATCAACCTTGCTAACTTTAATTCCCAAATTGTTAAAAGTTTGTTTTTTAAGTAAAAGATTTAGTTATAGAATCACATAACTTAATCTAATTGCCCTTGATTAAAAATAACAAGGACAAAAACAGCCATAATATGCCAAACTATCAAATCTAACATCGTCTAGTATAGTCTGACATGTTTTAATTAGACCATCAAGTTAGCATAGTTTAGAGTTTCAATAAAAGTATAATTGGCAAGTCATTGGTTTTTATGACTGGATTGTTACTTTAACTAAAACCCCTTATAACCTAAGACAACAAACACTTCGTATATTCATAATGATTTGAATTGAGTTGTAGTAGATTTAAATTAAAGTTGGATTATTAATTTTTTTTAGATGGTAAAATTTTGCTTGGAAAAAGATAAGTTTATGGATAATTTTCTGTTTGTATTTTAAAGATCTATGGGAAGAAAATTGGATAAAGATCGGTGGAAAAAATTGGTTGAAGATTGATGGAACTGAATAGGAGGAAAGTTTGTTTGGATGGAAATAAACCATCATTAATTTTATTTTAGATTAAAATAATCTTATGACATTTAATTCATTTAATTTGAATAAAGATAAAATTGAGAAAATTCGAATTACATTTGGATTGAAGAGTAAAAATGTCATTTTATAACTAACATAATTTTTTAAACGGACTTTAACGGAATAGGGATTATGCCTAATTTTCGAAATAAACGGGGGCTTTATGTATTTGTTGAAGCACATGGGATCTTCTATAATAATCCTTTTAACGTACATCAGAAACTTAGAACGCATTCGTTTATGTTTTAAACTTACCATTTTCATCTTTTTTTGGCTTTAAATTCATGCAATCAACTAGGGGTGGAAAAAACAGGTCGGTATCTTCAACCAAACTGGTTTTTGGTTTTAAAAAAAAAATTAAACCGAAACCAGTCCAGTTTCAGTTATAAACCGGTTTAAAACCGAATCGAAAATTCGGTTCAGTTAACCGGTTAATTATAATGGGCTGCATTTGTTCGGCCCAATTCGGTCAAACCCTCCACTTTGGCCCATTTTTTTTTCCAGGTTTTTTTAACTTGAATTAAATTTATATTTATTGTAATTGAATAATTTAAATTCATATAATTTGAATGTACATCAAGTATTAATAATTTAAAATTACATTAGGGAAGACCTAGGGATAAATTTTTAAAAAATGCTCAAAATATAAAATTTTTTTTTTTTTAAATTGAATTTTGGAAAATGCACATTAGTGAAGACCTAGGATAATTTTTTTTTAAATTGAAAAATATAAAATTATTTTTTTATTCATTAAACCGGTTTAAAAATCCGGTTCGATTAACCGTTTTTGTTATTTCCAAAAACCAAAATCGAAACCGAACCGAATATTCGGTTTACAAAATGTGGCAAACCGAAACCGAAAAAAACTGAATTTTCGGTCCGGTTTTCGGTTTTTTTTTCCACCCCTACAATCAACATTCATTAACTCTTATATTAGAATCCAAATTGAGAAAATAAAGGAAAGAGTTGCTAGAAAGAGAAAGATTTTCATTTTTCTGATTAAAATTAATATTTGAAAAAAAAAAGTATTTATCTTTCTTTTCTTTTATATTTTTCTCTTTTCTCATTTAAAAAAAAAAATGCTATAAATCAAGATTTTTAATACAGAATTGTCAAAAAAAAAAAAAAAAAAAAAAACAAACAAACAAACAATGGCATATTTGGATTAGTTTTATCAGTTGTGCAAGTAATAAATTTTATATTATTATTTTTATTGTGTTGTTAATCAAACATGCATTTTCAAGTTTATTTTTGGACCAATATGCCATATGTGATTTATTTTTTGCTTTTTTCAATCATTTATAATATAGTTTAAAAGAAACTTAATCCTTGATTGTTTTCTTACACAATTATTTCATTCCATTTATAATATAGTTTATTCCAACTCTTCGAATAAATCAAGCTTAAATATATTTTTATCACATTTTGTTGTCAAATGAGATTTCAAATTATATTTGTTGATACAAGATTTGCACCAACTAGAGTGATTTGATTGACCTTGACGAAATCGGAATTGATATGCACGTGATTAAAGATAACTAGCAATGTATGAATGCAAAGTGCAGTAAAATAAATAACGCAAGAGAGTTTTAAAGCGGTTTGACAAGTTTTAATCTTGAGCCTACGTCCACTATTTTTGTATTTGCTGTAAGAGCTTACAATAGTATTCCTAGAACAATTTGCTAACCCATTTTCTCATCGTTGGAAGGGGTTTATATACAGATTTTGTACAAAGGAAATTGCGAAAATAAAGGGATTACAATTAAGATTGAAATGCAACTCCAATATTCTAGCGATTGAGCGCTAAGATTGCGCCAAGATTGCTATCGATCTGATCCCTTTCAAGATGTCTGGGATTTTAGGTTATCTGTGAGCTGTTTGAACAACTATCGAGATTGGTGGCGCCTAACTTATGTTGGGTTGAGCTATATCTTGACAAGCTTATGCTGGGTCAGACAATCATTTGAGCCGAGCTGATTCTAGGTCGGGCTATAACCTCGTTGACCTCTAACTTCTCCTAGCTTGATGGAAAAATCACACACAACATCTGCCCCCTAATGTTCGGTGCTCGTTTTGAGCGTCGAAGACTAAATCCTCAATTTGACGTCAAGTTCGGACTTCGAGGGTTGTGCACTAAAGAAAGATTTGATCGAGCTTCATGAGTCGGACTCATCTTCGGTCGACGTAATCAACACTTGAACTTTTCTCTATTGTGATATTCTTAACAAACTTGTAATTTGAAATGAAGGGCATGTGTGTAATTTCCACGAGATCATGTCGCATTAAATGCAGCAGCTTTTGGCAGTTAATTTTTGTCGCGCGTGGGCGACTATAGCTATCCACGCTCGAAGTCGAAGCAACGTGCGGCAAAGGTTATGATTGCAATAGTCTGATAGTTGATCGACCTTCATGGATGATTGACATGTGGCCACATCTAATGGCTAAGATTGTTGACGAATGAAGGGCTGAGATTCACTATAGATTGACGGTTATAGTCGAATCCCACCCCTTCATCTCCCATGCACATCACTATAAAAGCGGGCAACTTTGTCAAAAACCTACACACTTTGCAAAAAAATTTAGTCCTTCTTAGGTTTTGCTCCGTCACTATTCTTTCGACTTCATGGCATTTTTCCGGCAAGTATCTTCCCTTTTCACACTTCGGTAAGGCTTCATTTTCCTCCTTTGATTATTTTTACGTCTTTTGTTGTTGAGATTGGCCATTGTCGTGGCCACATTAAGATTTTTAGGGTTTTTAAGTGTCTCCGTCAGTTTTGGGTTTAAAGAGGGTTTATGGAGGCAGTCGTCAGAATCCTGGTAGCTCATTTGTGTTTGTTGTCCGACGCAAGCTACCCTGGGTGCCTGAAATGAAAGCAAAATGTGGAAAGGTCGCCAAATTTTCGAGCTCTGACACTTGTTCACTTTTGTTTCAGGTACCTAAAGACGAGCTATTACCATGCCTTCATCAAGCAGTCATAGTATAGACTACATGTTTGACTCTCTGACAAGCTCGACAGTTCTTGGGGACATAATCCTAGAGGTTTTCGGGGATAAATCCCAGAGTTTTTCAAGGACTTCATTGTACAGAGCTCGGACCCCAATGCAGCAAGCTCTTCTGACCATGCTTCTGGGGAGATTCTTCTTCCAAGGAAGTCTCCAATTCATAGGCCCTGAAAGGAACCACGTTCCTCGATTGGGGTCGAAGATGTCAAGCGCATGACCAAGGTTTATGCGCCTCAACTTCCCTTAAGGGTTCTAGGGGGCTTCTCCCGAAAAAATCCCCCCATTGGCTGCGTGGCGGTCTTTGATACCCTTCTGAGGTGCGGTTTGTCATCGTTCCCTTTCAGTTGTCGGCGAACTCATATATAATTATTGTAGGCATGTATATAGCGTACCAAATAGCTGAGTTGGATTAGCTATCTGTAGAGGAGCTCGTCCACTTGTATAGGTTGAAAAAGATTTAGAACCAACTGTACTACCTTTCTAAGGGGAGGAAAGTACATTTGAACGGGTTGATCGACATCCCAAAGAAAATTTCTACATCAAGACTCTCAGTATTTCTTTTATGAGGTTGGGGTAGCCGGCGTTTTTGCCTCGGAAGCTAGTAAGACCCCGATCTTCGTGCGTATAAAAAGTGTTTCCAAGATTGACAAGCGAAATAACTAATTCTCTTTGTTTTGCATTAAACGTCAAGCAGAGCTTCCTTCCTGAAACAAGCTTAGAGTGGCTTCAGCGTTTCAACCATCTTCTCGACAATAAGCGCAATGTTATTGAGCTTATCATGCTTTCTCAGTTGAGAGCGTATGGCTTTTACACCAACGAAGCTAAATTCAATATCATTTTTGAAAAAGTTAAGTGCTTAATAGCTCGCTGTTTTTGTCCTTGCTTTGTTAGGTTGATCACCATTTGGTTCTTCTTTTGTAGATATGTAGGCCAAAAAACTCAAAGGCCTAAAGAAGAAGGCACCAGCACCTGGGGCTACCAAGAAACCACTGATTGCTCTAGCGAAGAAACAGCTCGCTGATACTACCAAGGCGCTCGGACAAGGTGCCTTGCGCCTGGTCCTTAAGCGTAATGGTGGCGAGCCTGGGGGGGCAATTGACAAGAAGCTTGCGATTGTCTCCAAGGTAGTTGGGGAGAAGGGTGCCCCCGAGCCCCCAAAGGGCCTGACAAAGAAAACCCCTAAGCTAGTTGGATACTTGGGGAAGAAGAAGATACTTGAGCAATATAAAGGCTTAAACAAGAAGAAGTCAACCGAGCCATAGGGGGGCTTGGGAAAGCAAAAGGTTATCGAGCAGTAGGATAGCTCAGGCAAGAAAGTTGTCGGGCAAGTTGGTAGCTTGAGGATAGCTACGGCCAAGGACTTGGCCAAAAAGAAATCCATTCCTGCAAGTGAGACCGTCATTCTCGTGGGAAGCAGATCAAGCTTGCCTCTACAAGCAGGTAAAGAGAAGGCAAACGAGGAGCTCAGGTTGTGCTTGACGTGATGATTGATAGGCTCCTCGAGCATATCGATGTTGGAGCCTCGGCGGCCAAGGAGGCCGTCACGCCGCAGATTTATGCAAGGCTCAAAGATACGTCCCTTCATGAGCAGCTTGTTTGGGCATGCAACTATGTGACTAAGGTATTAATAGTTCGCCCTATTTCCTTTCTTATGGACTTCTCTCTTTATTCTCTACTAACTTTCTTTCTTTTCAGGCTTGCGTGGTGACAAAGCTTCTCTTCGACGAGAGTTACCCCACATTAGAGGGTACTCATATAGGATGGCAAGAGGCAGAGAAGTTGAAAGAGGACACCTTGGCTAGGGCTGAGTTGGTAGAAAAGGAGAAAGAGTGAAAGCAGGTCGAGCTTAAGTGGGTGAAAAAAGAGGTCGAGGTCAAGGAAAGGGAGTTCCTCAAAAAAATCAAGGCGAGCGAGACCGCTCGAGCAAAGGCTAAGGCAAAGTCAACCGAATTTGAGAAGAGTTTGGCACAACAGCGGGGTGCCAACAACAAGTTGAACTCCAAGCTTACCTCGGCTTAGAAGGCTGACTCAGACTGGGAGGCCAAGTATGAGAATGTTTCACGCGCCCTTTCCACGGAGGTGAAGGACCACAAAAAGGCTGAGGTTGAGGTTGTTTGACTCAATCTCGATATCAAGGAGCTGAATTCGACCATAAAGAGCCATGTTTGGGACATTTCGGTCTTCCTTGTGCAGAAGTTGTGGGAAGCTCATCCTTCACTTAATTTCTCCTTTCTGCCAAAGGCTTATCAAAAGGAGGTCGACAGGATGAAGACTGAATCCAGGGCGTTGCGTATGTTTATTGGGACAACTCTGAGTCTGACGGCGAGGATGAGAAGGTGGTTGAAGAAGAAAATGAGGAAACCTAGGTCAAACAAGAAGTTGAGGACCCGACTGCTTTGGCCTCACTCCCAGCTATCACCGTCGACCTTCCTTCGGTCAAGCCTCTACAAGATGTCTCGACTCCTACCCCTGAAGAAGTTGCCAAGACTCCTGCTGTCGATGATACTTGGTGTGTTGTTATAGGTAACCAAGATTAAAATCCTTTCTAACCTAACTACTAAACTGTAAATAGGGTAAACAAGAGTCGATCCCACGAAGAGTGTCTAGCCGAATTTTCTATGATGTGAATAAGGCTGGGGGATTTTGAGTAAAACAGAAAACAATCTTAGCCAAAAACAAAAACAAAAACAATTCAATTCGAAATCAATTAATATAACGAAACTTGGTCTCTGTCAACATCCACCATCGGAATCTTACAACTGATCATTGATGCAAAAGTAAATCAATTCTTACTTTGAATATTCACCGTTGGAACTATTTTCCTATCTCTCCTTAATTGTAATTAATTAGGAAACAAGCGATCTTAATTAATCTTACCATTAAACAACCCTAGACAAGCGCTAAAGATTTAATCTAATGGTAGCCTTAAGAATTTGAGAAATCGATGAAGCTAAACAACACAAACACAAGCGGTTGTATTTAATTTAGTTGAATGTTCTTCTTAAGATTACTAATTCCTGACGCAGCAAATTATTAACCCTAATTGCTTCACAAGTTAGAGGGATCAAACAACTACGGATTTGATATCAAACTTAGCAGTAGACTGCAACAAATAATACACTAGTAGGCCTCCTAGTAATTAAATGCATCAATCATGAAGATATGCACAAACTAACATTCAATACTCAAACATGAAAATTGAACACTAAAATAAAATAGATTAGATCTCACAGTTGGTTGATTCCAAGGTCTCCGTTTCCGACGACTAGGTTACAAAAGTTTTAGCCGCTCATGGCCATCATGAAATTACAGAGGAAAAGTTGCAGAGAAGACCAGAGAGAGGCGTGTGTGTATCCCTCCAACCTAATCTGATCCCCTTAAAAAATATCCAGTTTAAGTATTTGAATTCCACTAAATCTCCTAAAAGAAATATTCTAATATCCTAAAATAACATTAATCCTAATTTGATTCTAATTAATTGAAAATAAGATAAAGTCCTAAAATAAAATAGGGAAGTGGTGATTCTGAGCTGTAACTTGCGTGCCACATGTGTTCAAATCTTCCAATAATAAACTGCCCAATTGATTTGCATGACAAGGCAAAATGTTCCAGAACGTCGACAGTGCAGATGTGTCAACTTCAAGCCCGATTACCACCTTGATACAGTGATTATCTCTCCAAACTCAAAACATGAACGTTGTAGATCTCTTTCTTATCGTTCCACAGCATTTTGAATCATCTCAATCGAAGCTCGGATGAGAGAGTTATGCCCGGATTACGAAACAATGTCGAAACTGTCTGAATTCACTTAATTAGTTCCGTTTTGCAATTAACGCCTCCATTTGCTTCCTAAATCAAAATATAATAATAATCAGTAAATTTTAGGAAACAAATAAGTATAAAATACTAGACATTAAGGGGGGTAAATATGACATTTTGCATTCTCATCAAATACTTCTACTTCGGTTAGTGATGATGCCCCTGCTGTCTAAATTTTTTATATCTATTATCTTTGTTTTAGTTTTTAGTTTAACTTGTAACTAAACTATTATAATCAATGAATAATTTATTTTTCCCATTTTTATCGAGCAATGTTTTCATTTCTGCAGTCATTTTAGTCGTTCTAATCGAACTTAACACAAAAAAAATTCGAATTTGCTCCAAGTTATGCGTAGCCCACTTCTTTGTGAACAAAATAGTTCTAAGTTATGCGCAGCTCACTTCTTGAGGAACTTTTCAAACATCTAAGAAAATCTTATGTGCGACAACTCTGAGTTTAAACTAGTTGTCTGTCTCGAGTCTTGGTCACCGATTTATGACGATTTTCCTTCAATGTGTTTTACTCGAGTTTTCCCAAGTTTTTAACTTTGTCGATTCGGGGGATTTCTCCCTTAATAAGTTGAATTTTGGGGTGGCTTATAAAGTTAAGCTGCATTTTATGAACTCTTGACTTTGAGTTTAGGATGCGATCGCTTAGGTTGCGATTTTGAAACAATAAATAATGAACAAAGCGGAGTTTATGAATAATACCTCTTTATTATTGAACAAAATTTGGCCGTAAAAGACCTTACATTGAATGAGAAAAAATAAAACATGGTTTAAAACACAGCTACTTATTAGTAATACCTTCGCAAATACTTAACGTTTCATGCTCGTAGTACAGCTTCACCATTTAGGCGTTCTAGGTTGAAAGTTCTTGGTGCGAGCTTTTCAGAGATCCCAAAAGGACCTTCCTATTTAGGCCCAAGTGCCCCCAAGTTCAGGTTTTGTGTACCCTGGACAACCTTTATGGAGACTAGGTCACCGACTCCAAAGTCTCTGTTTTTGACCTTGGAGTTGAAGTATCGTTTGGAGGCGAGCCTTAGCTAAGACTTGGCTTAATGTTCTTCGATTAGATCTAGCCTCAGGCAGAGAAGATCTTCATTTGTTTATTCATTAAAGACCTATCTCTGAAACAAACTAATCCCTACTTTAACTGGGGTCATTGCTTCACACCCGTATGAAAGTCAGAATGAGGTTTCTCCTGTCGAGCTTCTGGTTATCGTTTCGTAAGACCATAAGAGCATCTCCAAATGACTCTTTATATGACCTAAACTCTTTATTATAAAGAATTTATCCATAGAAATAAGAGTCCAACAGACTCTTTATTCTTTAAATATAAATTAAAGAGTGAGATTGGCTCTCCACATTTAGAGAGTCAAATTTTACTCTCTATCCTAATTTTAAATAATAAATTGCAAGTTTCTATACATTTTATTTATGATTTATCTCTCCTATTAAGTTTCTTTCTTGAAAAAACATATTCTCTCTCCTAAATTTAAAGAGTCTATTGGATTTGAATAAAAATTTTGCTCTTTATATTTAAAAATAACTAAAGATGCTCTTTATTTATATAAAATATGCTCTTTAAAATAAAGAGCACCATTGGCGATGCTCTAAGGCCTCAGGTAACTCCTCAACCCATCTTCCTTTAAGGGCATCGAGCTTCTTTTTGATGGTGTGCTTGATCACTTTATTTACAGTCTCTACTTGATCGTTGGCTTGATGCCAATAAACAGCAGCGAAGCTTTTCTTGATCCCGAGCATTTCGCAGAAAGATTTGAAGTATTCACAATTGAACTACTTCCCATTATCAGTTGTTATAGTGTGGGGAATTTCGAATCTACAAATGATGTTCTTGTAGACAAAATCCTTCAGCTTGTTCGAAGTGTTGGTAGCCAAAGGCTCAACTTCTACTCACTTGGTAAAATAATCCACTGCGACCAAACTTACACCCCTTTTTCCTTGAGGCAAAAGGCCTATCAGATCAACTCCCCAGATCGTAAATGGCCAAAGACTTGTTAGAATAGTTAATTCTTGGGGTGGAGCTCGCGGAACATCTATGAATCTCTGGCATTTGTCATATCTGTGCACAAAGTCCGTTGTATCATCAAAAACTGTTGGCCAGTAATAACCCTGGCGGAGCACTTTGTATGCCAAAGATCTACCCCCTGCATGGTTCCACAAATGCCTTTGTGGATCTCTTTTAAGACATATTTTGCGTTTTCGTGATCAATGCACCACAAGAGCAGCAAGTTATACCCACGCTTATATAATTGGTCATTGATGAGTGTGTATCGAGTTGACTTTGCTCAGAGTGTCTTGGCTTCACTCCTATCCTTGGGCACTATCCTATCTCTCAGGTACACAAGTATTGCATCCATCCAGCTATACCTCTGCCCTGCTACTAAGACTGACTCCTGTGAAGCAAGGATGCTGGGAC